GCGTCCGAACCTTCGCTGGCTGTGCTAAAAATCTAGCGGGTCTGTTGTGTCTCGTGTCGCAAGTTCAGTGACGCAGTAATGACGCAGTAATTCTCCGGCCAATCAGTGACCAGTAGAGTTTACACGTCACGTTTTGGTAACGGTTCGGCGCGCTTGGAACCTCGGCTGAGGTGGTACTAAAAAAAGGACCAGGTACCAGGTACTGTTCCCAGTGGAAAACCCCCCAAAAGTGAGCTGAACTGAACCGTGTCGTGCCGTACTATGCAGTGGAAAAGCGCCATTAGAGGTGGGCAGCCTACCTTCTTCATCTGGAACTTGATGGTGGATTTGACCTCATCCACCTTGGTGTTAAGGTTCTCATTGTGCGTCAGCAGGGAGGGAAATTTGCCGGCCTTGTTGAGTCCTGGGCCCAGGATACGGGGAATCTGCTTGATCAGAGACTCGGAGGCTAGGAAGGCATCGTACTTCTTAGCTGTTTGGGAAAGATGACTAGAGTCAGAGATTAAGTGCCAAACTAGCCTTACTGCATATACTTTTAATTTACCATTGTCGGGTGTCATGAGTTGTGGAACCACAGTTTGATTACACTGAACTATAAGCATTGTATTGCTGATCTGAAATGTACATCGTTCTGGACAAAAGCATCTCCTAATGAGAATATAAACTTTCTGGGTGGCCAGTTGAGCAGTCAGGTTCAGTCCAGCAGCTCTGTCAGGATCCAGAACTCACCCAGTTTCTTGACCAGCTTCTTATTCTTGTTGAGCTTCTTAAGTGCCTCAATGTCCATGTGTGGGAGGTCAGCTGCCTTGGCTTCATCACAGTGCTGCTGGTCACCCAGGATGCACACAGAGAACTTGGGCCTGGGGGTGGTCTTCAGCCTGAGAGGACAATGACAGTGGCACTGTCAGCACTAACAGACCATATACATCCACATCTCCACTCTGCACATCCCACGCCAACAAGGCAAAACTGAAGGCTCTTACCCTGAGGGTCTCACCCTGAGGGTCTCTGCATGACTTCTCATCTCGACTCGCACCAGGGATGCCATTTAAGAGCAAAATGGTCGGCTCAGGCAGGACTTTGGGAACAACCCCAGCCTGCCCTTTGCCTCCCCTCATGTTTTAAGACCCAGGGTGAGGGTCCGCCTGCTTCCCCAGAGAGGGGGATTCAGTCAGGCTACCCAAAGCTCTTCTGCACTGCCCATTCCAGGCCTAAGATTTATATAAACCTGGGTCAATCTGCACTAAAACCCGGCACCCACACGGCAGTGGGCAGGGCTGGGGTGGGCAGGCAGAAGCCTGGGTGAAACAGAAGAGTGTCCAAACCTGACAGTGCCAGAGAAACGCTTATCCTTCTGGGGGTCGTAGTTCTTCAAGCTGATCTGAAGCTCAACCGTCTCCAAAAACCTTCCAAGGAGAGAGGTGACCATTTCAGAGACATGGTTTATATGTATACATTTTGTTTCTTTGCTACTTGGGTTTTTCCTCATGAAAAATACTCCAGGTATATTTCTATGGTGCCTCTTCAGAGTGTACTTCACTGGGTCAGTTTGCATTTGAGTATGTGCTCTGCCAGCTCAGCCCACACAGTAACTTCTCGTTTGGCTTCTCAGTGTCTCCCTTATTTATTTTAACGTTAAAGAATAAAATTATTGAAAATGTAACAATAAAATTAATGTTATTTATTTATGCACCACCCATTGGAACAAGACACGCTAAATGAGTATCGTTTTCATTCCTGGCTGCCTCATCTAAACAGTGGTCTAATACTCATTATCAATTATGTGACACAGACGGCGCTGCTTTTTGCGGAGATGCAAGTGGAATCCCGGGGGGGCGGGGGCTTACTTGCGCGTCTTGGCCTGGGAGCCCTGCAGCACCTCGCGCACGGCCTCGTACAGCGTATCTCTGGAAACCTTACTGCGGAAGGTGAAGGACAGCGCCGTCAATCGCTTAACAATCAAAGTGAACACAGCATGTCATGTCAGAAAGCGGCACAGCGACTTAAAGCCATAGAGTTAAACTGACATTGAAAGGGCAAAATAACGACAGAAAGAAATTCGGAAAGTTAACATTTTAACGATTAACAATTACTCATTGTCTTCTGTAATAATTCACTTGAGTTCTGCTTTACAATAAGAAACAGACATTAATGTATGAAGCGGGTTCATTGCAATCAGACGAAATGTCATAGTGAAATAGGCAACAGTATTATTACCGATAATTCTTTGATTACATGAAAAATTTTGAAAAATACTACGTCTTAAAGTCAAGCAGAAGATAAAAACATCCAGAATGTTGAATTCACAATGAAATTATTTATCGATTAAAACCGATTAGATTTGTAGAACAACTCGCATACTGGACGCTACTGCCATATTACTAGCCGGTACGTTTCAGACAACCAAAATTACGCTTTAAAACTTGAAGCTTTAATGTCAAATAATTATACCACAAAATAAAGTCTTTAAAACTATCAATCGAAACATAACTCCACAACAATTTTTTTATAAAATACGTTTCTGAAGGAGAAAAAAAACTTGCTCACCTCATCTTCCCTTCCCGTTGCACGCTACAAGGAGCTGAAAAGAGGGAGAGGAAACGGAAGTAGGCCTCTAAATAGCGACGCCGTCGCAAGATGACCGCCCTTTGCGGCCATATTTGTGGTGTCTGTGAGTTGCGCATGCGCCAGCGTTGGGAGCCGAATGAGAAAGCAACGAAAAACTGAAACAAAAAAATACAGCCAAAACCAAAAACTACCTAAAAGCAAAGTACAAAAATAAAACAGAAATAACCGTATTGAAAGTGTAAATACAGACAATTTATGAAAATGTATGCAAATACGTGAGATGGACCCTAACTTTCTTTAACTGGTAATGGTAGAGGTTTGGCAGATCAAGTCAAGTCGTTTCAAGCATATACAGTAATACAGTACATAGTGAAATGAGACAGCTTTCCTCCAGGACCTTGGGGCTACATATAACACTACATCGACACAGGACTACATAAAGTGCAAGTGTGCGAAAAGTGCAGACATTGCATAAACAGTGCGACACAAGACAGTGCAATAGATGAAATAGAAGAGATGAAAGTAGGTAAGACAGTGCAATGGGTTGTGCAAAACGTTATTGAGGTAGTGGAGTGTATAAAGGTGTGTGTCTGCGTGTGTATCAGTCCAGTCTCTGATTGTTCAGAAGTCTGACAGCTTGGGGGAAGAAACTGTTGCAGTGTGGCAGTGAGGGCACGAAAGCTCCGGTACCTCTTGCCAGAAGGCAGGAGGGTGTGAAGAGTGTGTGTGAGGGGTGTGTGAGGTCCTCCACAATGCTGCTGGCTTTGTGGATGCAGCGGGTGCGATAGGTGACTGTGATAGAGGGAAGAGAGGCTCCAATGATCTTCTCAGCTGTTCTCACTATCCGCTGTAGGGTCTTGCGATTCGGTACGGTGTAGTTTCCATACCAGACAGTGATGCAGCTGTTCAGGATGTCTCTCTGTAAAAGATGGTGAGAATGGGTGGTGGGAGATGCCCTAAAGTCTTGTATTACCTGAATAGTTTATTAGTTTACCACGATTGACTTGACATAAACGGTTTACTCAGATCCTGTAGTGACGGTGTGATTTAGTCAAGTAAAATGTGGTTTTGTTTCTTGTGGGTAACAGGTAGACATATACATTCTGTAACTTCTTTGTATGCAAGAATTTATTGCCATATTCCAAAATATTCTCCCCCCCCTTTTTGATAGATCAATTTTATTCACACACTTTATATAGTAACTCATATTGCTGATGAGAGTTATTTCACACAATATATTTCATGCTTTATTTACTATGACAAAATATGCAATATTTGAATGATTTTCTCCTTTGTTTTTAGCAGAACCTACACCATATTCTGACACTTTAGGAGTAGCTTTTCCCTTTGCTGTCCCCTTCAGTTTTAATGCTTTGTATCCTACATGAACTTTTAAGTCATAAATACAAAAGCGTGAGAAGGTACACAGAATGGATATTTATAGCAAAGTCAATCAATTCTGCCTTAGAAACCATTGAACAACCAAGCACACATTGATCCACTACAGAGCAGCTGGAGATCCCTGTGCATTCAGAATGGTTCGATCATGAAAGTTAGGAGCACAGTGGGTTTATGGTGGATCAGCTTTTGGGAAATGACAACTCCCCTCTGCTATGAGGATGGATCGATCCGCTTCAGGGCAGCCAGAAGAGACTTTTTCAGGAAGGTCTCATGGGAAGCCAGGCAGCAGGAGAGTATGTGCTTGTGTGGGCTCACCTGGGTGAACAAACACAGTAACTTCAGTCCACTGTTAGCAGCTGGTACGCCCCCCCCCCCCAGCTGCATTGTACGGTTATACCTGCTGTATATACACTGTTATTCTCATAACAAGGAGATTTTTTAAAATAGACTTCTCATCAATTTAATTTGGTAAGTCTGATTATGGCACTTGTCTCAACACAGGTGTTACAAGGACCTTAATAAGTCATATCAGAGAGAATATCACAAAAATGTTATGGAATGCAATGGTGAAGTATGATTGGAGCAGAGCAGGCTATGGAGGCAGTGAGGTTACAGTCGTGGGTAAGTCAGGCTATGGAGGCAGTGAGGTTACA